TTTGAGGATTATATGAAAGCTCATAGAGAAATAAATGACAACCACCTTAATAAAGTATGTCGAATATTTTTAACCTTAAACGATAGTCTTGTATATTTATCTTCTTTATGAAAAAGTATGACTACACGAATATAAAACTTCTGAAAAAATATGAACAAACTAAATTTGATTGAATCTTCGCTTTATTTTAGGTATTATTGTTATCGTTAAAAGCTGGTGGTGAAGGTTTAAATTTGATTGGTGGTTGTCATTTATTTCTCTATGAGCTTTCATATAATCCTCAAAACGAACAACAAGCTTGTGATCGAATCTATCGTATTGGACAAACACGTGATGTTTATATTTACCGTCTTCTGATTCGTTCATCAATCGAAGAACGAATTTGTGAATTACAAGCGAAAAAATTACAATTATCCAGTGATGTTTTACGTGGATGTGTCGAAAAATTTACATTAAAACTCGAAGATATTGCTTTTCTATGTTCATAAGAAAAATGACTCAACGAAACGCATTCACCCAGGATACTTGATTTCCAGTATAATGATAGTCTTTGTTGCACTTTTAACTGTTCGGTGCTTATTTTTAGACTCAATACTTTTTTACCTTTTGTAAGTAATCTGTACATGAACGTTTCTTTTTCTCACTTTTCACATGTCTATGTACTTTGTTAAAAGTTCATATACTAGTTTATTCTCTTTTTTCTTTTGAATCCCCTTTCATTCTGAAATGTTTGCTTGTTTTTTCTTTTTTTTTGTATGTACTCTACAAAAATAATTCAGTATGTGTGATTAATTGAAATCAGATCGGCACTGCGCACGAAAATTAATAGAATGCCATGTGCTACTCGCGTGGATATAGATCGATCCATACGCGTGTCATTGTCCATAAAAAAAGTTTTGTACGGTACTTATAATTTTTTTCACTGTACAGAAAAATATGTAAATATTATTTTTTATGTGATATAGACAACAATAAAACTGTTGCTATACGATTTTTGTTTAAGGAGCTCTTCCCATACTCAGAACATTTTTTCTATGCAGTGTGACGATAGCTATTAAATTTTCAAGAATTAAATTGATAGACAGCTTTTATATACAATCTTTGCTATCATATCAGCTAAGTTAGACTATTCGAAAAAATTCGTGAACGTTTGGATTCTTTTGTTTTTTATCTAGCGCTGCAGCATTGATTTCATTAACTAGTTTCTCCCACGCTTAGTACAACAGAGGATTGTTTCATCAATATTCTTAAGTAATTCTTAAACTTAAGTTTGCTCTTAAGTGTCAACTTTGTTTCGACTTAAGTTTGTCGTAATTCCATGTATCGTGATCTTGAGACATAACATATGGTGCAAAAGTAATGACAATAATGTCAAACTATGTTAGACCGTATTGCTGACGTCTAAACCAATCAAACGTTTTTTTGTTGGAAAGAGCAAAGTCTGAACTACAAGTTTTGTACCAGACATATTTTTCCAGAATGAATTCGAGAAAGAGGAAAAGTCAAAAACCAAACATCTCTGAAAATGTCCTTTCAACTTCGCTATGCAGCAACATCATTTTCTATTTTCTATTAGTTTTTTTTTTATCAGAAGAGAAATGAGAAACACGTTAAATTATGATTTTAGTAGCATAAAGAATGCTTTTTCTAACGGTATATTGGAAGTTAAATTTACTCTTGATTTTTGTACCAAAATACAACTTTTTCTGAACGAGACTAAATAAGTTGGTCGTCCTTACTACCTGGCTGTTTTGCAATGATAAAAAAGCTTTTTGGAATTATTTTTTTTGCAAAATTTCTACGATCGGACATACTTCTAACAAATAACGCAAAAAGAACTGAGTTCATGCATGATTTCTGAAGATGATGGCTGATTATCTTGCAAAGTGGTAGTTTTGTAAAAGACTCGATTTTACAAAAAAATTCATGTTTAAAACGGTTTTATGGATCTAAAACTTTTACCAATGTTGATATCAATAGAGTTTTTGATCCGCTATATTTTCATGTATTTTTTGTTCAAGTTTGATACATGGAGCTTGAAATAATTGAGAAATACAAACTTTTCAAGTTGCAAACATGTTGTAAGGACTTTTTCAGAGGTGTTTGATTTTTGACTTTTCCTCCTTCTCGGATTCGTTCTGGAAAAATATGTCTGATACAAAACTTGTAGTTCAGACTTTGCTCTTTCCAACAAAAAAACGTTTGATTGGTTTAGACGTCGACAATACGGTCTAACAGAGTTTGACATTATTGTCATTACTTTTGCACCATATGTTATGACGTCTCCAGAGTTATCCTATCGAGTGTTCCAAAGTATTTGCAACATTTTTTGTTTGACATCTATTCCAGTCTAGAAATTGGATAAAATCTTAATTTTTTTAAAAGATACACTATCCAGTTCTGTACGAAAAACATACTCAACATTTTTTTCTTCTGTGACTATATATAGCGTACTATTTTTTTGCTATCGCATCATTTGTATACTGTGCCGCGTGAAGTTGCGATTGTCGGTTTTCATGATTCATTCATGTGTATGACATCGTGTCATTTCGGTACTATAAATGGTTGAACTGTGCCAAGAAGATTAAATATTTGTTTGATTGTGATGATATGGTAATAAATGATGTACGTGACGCACATAAATGAATTTTTCGGATATCGCTTGTTGTCTTCTTTTGCTTTAAGGGTGAGATGGAAGTGAATGATTGTAATGTTACAAGTGGAAGTGATTTTGTGATCACTGAAGTTCAGACTGATTTGTCACCAGCAACCGTCTCTATCCCAATGAATCGAACTTCTAAATCACATCGAATGTTTTCTCTGCTATGTACATTCTCTTGGAGAATTCCAGATCTTGTGTTGTGTGTGGTTCTACTGATTCGTCTTGCACAACAGTTTTATCTGGCGAGCAGAGAAAGATGATATTTATGAGACGATCTGTTATGGTATATAAAGGAGCTAAAATGGAGAGAGCATAATGCTCAGTATTTCCACAGTTGAGTGAACAGGATCTTCGAGATATCACGTTTGGTAGCTAAGTTCCAAATAAACTGATTTATAGAAAAAGAATACTTCGAATTTATTTTCTTCCTGACTAACTCCTACGCTAACAAAACGAAGGTTAGAATGGAAGGAAATAATTTGAAACGGTATAATTCCTTTCTTCTAAAGTTCATCCGTGCCGTTTTTGAACTTAAGATTACTTTATCTTTATGGCGTATTTCAACTGAAACAAGCATTATCTTATGTCAAAGAACATCTGAAACCATCGCCGGTATTTCCAGATGATTATGAATTCACTATTCAAACGACGGAAAATGTTGACGATTTGGTTAAAGTTAGATACCAGTCACGCCATATTGATAGTGAAATATATCATACCTATGTTGAATATAGCAGTAGCACATTACCTCCTATAACAGGATGGTACTGCAGTTGTATTGTGGGCGAACGAACTATTGGACGCTGCAGGCACGTGGCTGCTACGCTATGGCATTTGTGTTTAGACCAGGCCGTGACACACCAGACAAAAAGAACTTACAATAATTTTTTTGATTTTGTTGAGGATACTACGCAGTTCTCAGATTACGAAAACACGTCCGACGAAGACGATGATAAAACGCTATATGAATTAGTATAGAATAAATCTTCTTAATACACACCACATTTATTACACTTCAACGTATGCGTTAGTATCATTCCCACCTTTTGACCTCAGTGCTTTCTAATACATTCCTGACAAGTAAACTAAGCGGACATACACATCAAATTCATCTCTCTGTTCCCTTATCTAAAGGTCTTATTTTCGCTAGTCACATTGTTACACCATCGGATTTTTGGACAGGTTTTCATTTGAGACACATCTCTTTCGCGGATTAACTAAGTCCGTATATGTTGCAGAACAGAATGAAAAACAACAACTTTTGATATAAAAGGGTTTTCTCTTCGGGAATATAATGTAATCACGGTCCATCATTCACCTCACACTCACTTTGAAGCTGATGAGGGAACCTATCGAGGTTATAAAGCGCTTTTTGATCAAAATCTAGTGGGTTATAGGTTATCGATCATCGCGATTCGGAATATGATTATGGGAGCTGTTCATGGTTGTTTGAAGATACGGTTTTCTGGAAAACTGGTTTTCCAGAAACTCTAAAGAATAACCAACACTTTCTTAAGGAGACATAGTTGTAGCCCGCAAATTTCTGGTTAAAATGAGACATCTGCCACCTCTACACGGCTTTTCTTTGCAAAGTTATAGAATTTACAAGAAAAAGCCTTAAATGCTCAGAGCTACAGAAAAAAGAAATTAATTTAGGGCTTTTCGCGTAAATTCTATAACTTTGCAAAAAACGCTCGCGCAGAGGTGGGAAATGTCTCATTTTGATCAGAACTTCGTGGGCTACAATCCTGACTTATTAAGAGAAAGTTACAATAAAAAACCCCAAATTAATTTGTTCTTATTTCTGTAGCTTTGAGGATTTAGGGCTTTTCGTGTAAAGTCTGTAACTTTGCGAAGAATGGTCGTGTAGAGCTGGGCGATGTCTTATTTTAACCCGAAATTTACCGGCTACAATTATGTCTCATTAAGAAAGGTTTTGGTTATTCTTTAGAGTTTCTGAAAAACAGGTTTTCCAGAAAACCCTATCTTCGAACGACCATCGGCAGCTCCCATAATCATATTCGGAATCACCATGGTCGATAACCTATAACCCACTAGATTTCGATCAAAAAGCGGTTTATAACCTCGAGAGCTTCCCTCGTGAGATCAAAACTTGTATACAGTAGTTTTATTAACACGCCCTTTCCTGTGCAAACTGGCCCAACCAGTCAAGGCATTCTGACTAGCTCAATTTGTAGAGAATTTCAAGGACTATCAATTCATGTGTTGAAAGTTTAATTTAAAAAAATCAAGACAAAAACATTTGCTCTCACCTGCTTCGGATTATCAAGAATCGACCATACTATCAGTCAATACAGCTTTCCGAGTGCTACCAAATGGCTGTCTTCTCTTGTTTTATTAATTTTGTTTTCACAAAATGAAACGGACTATAGTTGAAAAGTAGAA